CCTTCATTTTGTTTTGCTCTCCTTTCTGTCACATAGCAAGTGGCTCGCCTGAAATGGGTTAGAGATTTTTGGAGGAAACCTTTTAAATAAGCATGTTTGGGTCTAGAGGAGGGGGAGCCATGCCTCAACTCCAGAGCCAGCTTTTAATTGAAGTGGGACAGCATAAAGCAATGGCCCAGTGCCACTCATACCAAGAGGAAACCTGAATCCCAGTAAAACTGAATCCAGTAAGCTTAACCAAGAAGGCTTAAGATGGGAATTTTGAACTCTAGACATAGGCAGAGGCCACTGAAGGAAGGAGCTGAGAGATGCCCCAGCCCAGGAGAAGTATATACGGCAGCTGGTCTACTCCTTTGCTTTCATCCCCTAGCAGATCCAGCTTCTAGCTCCCACTTTGCAAAACACTTGTAGATCCATCAATAGCAGTCTTCCCGCCAGCCTGGTCCCACAGCCACATCAGCCCCAAATAACACACAGAGATGCTGTATTAGATATAAAGCTGTTGGCCAGTTACTAGCATTTCTTATTGGCTAGCTCTGTCTTAAATATTAACCCATTTCTATTGACCTAAGTCTTTTCACGTGGTCTTATCTCACTGGAGAGAGGGTCCAGACCTCTTCCCTCAAGTCCCTACATCTTGAATCTCCTCCTCCAGAATCCTCCTTGTCTCCTAATTCTGCCTATCTTGCCTTCCTATTGGCCAACAGTGCTTTATTCATTAACCAATAAGAGAAACATATTTATAGTATGACATCTCCCATCAATAGTTACTTAAAAGACAAGACATCTGCACAGTATGTGTGGGGGGCAAAGGCCAAACAAAAAGCTGGGGAGAGGAAAGAGACAGCTTGAGTGTAGGGAAAGGGGACTCTCCTTCTACTTCCCCGATCGCTCTGAGTAGTTGTAAAGGTCTTGAATAATATTGGGATCTAGGGTGCCATTATGTGGCCATTTGGAATGATTGTCTAAGGCCAAATTTGATTGCAATGTCAAATAAGTTTAGGGTCCTTCAGTTCAGGTGTAGAGGCTAGAGGTTTTCTAAGAGGCATCCCAAGCGAAAATAATAGGGTATGGATGACACTGTTCCCATGGACGAGAAAGAAAGGCCACTGCATCCTGTAGTCGAGGGTGTCCCCAGGACTCAGGGAGGACCACAGAACAAGGACCAAGCCGTTTAGAGGGTCGTCACCCAATTCAACCGAGGTCAGGCTTAGCCTGGCTAAGCCAGGGGAGACTCAGCACCTGGTACCAGGGCTTTCATAGAGGCCAGAAGGTGAAGCTGGAAACCCGGCTCTAAGAGGAATGTCATCCTCAGGAAAGGGTCAGGAACAGAGTTGCAGAAGCCACTAGGGGCTAGAGGAGCTGTGGGATTATAGCCAGCTCCAGGGAGGAGAGAGGAAAGACAGTCATGAGGGGCGCAATGACCCAGTTGGACCTAATGAAACTGCAGGGTTGCAGTTCCCAAGGGTGGTGGCATGGGGTCAGGTGACGAGGACCAGCCTTATCCCTAAGGACTGTGGCTGGGGGAGCCAGGGCCTCTAAGAGTACCGGAGAATCGGTGGTCACTTCCTTAGGCTCAGGGAAATGTTCACAGGGACTGAAGGGGAAACTTTTGCAATTGCTGCTGGTGGATCAGAGAGCTGGAAGTCGAGTCTGTTGCAGATGGGCAGGAGAGGAGGTTTAGGATCCCAGTGCGGCTCAAACCACTATGGGGAGCGCAGGCACCAGGGCAGCCTAGCAGAGTCCTAGCATCAAATGTAAGCATTTTGACAGCTCAGATGGGATTGAATAGGGATGGGCTCTGGCACCTGGGAGCCACAGAATACTGAGTGTTACAGCTCGGATGGAAAGGGATTCTGTCACTCCTGAGCCAAGGAATACCACAGTCACAGTGAGTATAGTAGTTTATAGCCCTGCTCAGGGAAAGGCTTCCCCTGTGTATCAGCTCTGCTCAGGCAGGGGAGGGCTTCCTCTTCCGGGAGAAGTTGTTACAGTTTGGCTCCTGTCCAGTCCCTGGGATAATCGAGTGTAACAACTTAGCTTAGCCAGGGAAAGATTTCCCTGGTGAAGTGTTATAGCCCTGCTCGGCTCTGCCCAGGGTTGTCTCTGCTCCAGCGAAAGAAGGTCTTTCAAACCTCATTCAAGAGATTTATCGGGAGGGAAGAATCCAGGAGAGTGACTGCCTCTGCCAGGGTGGAAGAAGACAGCCCAACAGCCACAAGCTGAACAGGCACAGGGTTTATACAGGGTCTTGGCTGGGGGCTGGGAACTGTGGTGGCATCAAACTCCTTATACTCTTGCCTCAGCTTCTGAAATGCTGGGGTTGCCAGCATCTTTCCTAGAGCCTGAGGCCATGCTCCAGCATTGGAGCTAGGCAGCATCACTGGATGTGAATGGAGATATTTTCTCTACTGCGTTAACTTTTTTTCTGCCATTTTCCATACCGAAGTCCGTACTTGTAGCCAGAAAAATGGTGTTTAAAAGTGAGTGGAGACCTGGAGAGATGGCTCAGTGGTTAAGAGCACTCACTGGCTGCTCTTGCGGAGGACTCACGTCCATTTCTAGTCTCATGGCCGTCTGTAACCCCAGTCCTAGGGACCCCTCTTCTGGCCTCCTCCGGCACATGCCTGGTTCACAGACACACCAAACAAATATATATATATATATATATATATATATATATATATATATATATATGAGAACAGGCCAGCCAGCTCGGTTTTTAAGACGCTTGTTATGCAAGCAGTAGGACCTGGTCTTGGGTCCTCAGAACCAGGCAAAGCCCAGCATGGAGGCATCCACTTAACCTTGGGACTGGGGAGGCAAAAACTGGCAGATCTGATGGGGGGGGGCTCACTGGGCAGCCAGACAAGCCTATGTGCTTGGAAGCTCCAAGCTAATGAGAGCCCTTATCTTAAATAAAACCAAATACCAAAGGCCAAAACCAACCAAAACTGTTCTCTGGCCTCCACATGCACACAGATGCAGACAAACACCCCCATACACACACACACACACACACACACACACACACACACACACACACACACGTGTATGCACAGTAACACACACACATACAAAACCACAAACAAAAATCCAAAAGCGACTCAAACAGGGCCCGCTCTGAATGGGCTCCTCGGGCTTTCCCAACCTGATCCAGCGGCACTGGGTAGGCCTCACTCCAGTGGCTCCCACAAGCTTTCCTCCTGTTTCCTGCCTCCAAACCCTGAGGCCTAGGGCGGGGAAAGGGACACCTGGCATTTGTAGACCCTCTGGAACACCCCAATCCTAACAGAAGCCTAAGCCAGTATGAGCAGGGCCTTCCTGCTCCTGGGTGGCACTTTGGGGACGGTCCATCCTGGACCATGCCACTGCTCCACAAACCATTTGTGCTGGCTATGTGAGGCTGGGGTTGGATAGACAAGAGGAAGGCCCGTGGCATAGGGGTCCCATGCCATGAAGCCACCTTGTTCTCCCATCCCCCCCCCCCCCCGGTCTAGTTCTAGTTCATGGAGTGGCCACATTCAGGGCAGGAGAGATGGCTCAGTGGATGAGGGCTCATGTTGAATGAGCCTGGGTATAGCCGTGCATGCCTGTATCCCCAGTACTGTGGAGTGTGAACACAAGGTTACTGGGGCTTGCTGGCTGTTTGTTGGTGGGAGGTGAGAGTTCTCACATTACTATCTAGGAGGTACAAGAAAGCCCAGGCTCCTGGACAGATGGGAATGGCTGGCCACTCTGGTCCTCCATGGAGAGTCTGACTGTTTGAGTGGGAGGTGGGGGGTCTCCCCATCACTGGCTGGGAGGCACATCTGGCCTGGGCTGGTGACCAGTCAGGTTAACAAACTGACAACTGCCTAAGCCTGTCTGTAGCTGGAGGACAGACAATGGGAATAAACATGGGAAGAGTTCAGCCTTACGGAAGGAGAAATTCAAGGGGTTTGGGGGACTCCTGCCAAGGACCTTGGAACTGCGGGACTCAAGCAAGCTGGCTCCATGGTCTTGACCCTCCTAACCAGCCAGTGCCATCAGCATTTGAACCCACAACTCAGGATCCTTGACATAAAGAACTCCTGAAGCCGCTGACTCATTTGTCACTGAAATCCATTTTTCATCGGGGGCTTTCGGAAGAGTGTAGCCAGGCCAGAGAGGTGCAGTCACTCCTTAGACCACTCGGCTTGGTGGCGGCAAGAGAGCCTTGGGTTCTTCCCTTGCTGCCCCTGTAGCTCTGTAAACCCCAAGATGCAGGAAGGGGATGGTGGAGGTGGTAAGAGGATCGCCCCAAATTCCCACCTGCTCAGAACCTTAGACTAAAACCTTATTTGGAAACAGGATCTTTGGAGATGTAATTAAAGATTAAGATGAGATTATCCTGGGTCGAAGTAGCCCCTACATCTAAGGAGAGCATCTCTCTAGACATGCAGGGGGAGGGTGTGTGAAGAAAGAGGCAGAGCCTGGAGCAATGCAGTCTCCAGGAGCAGGGAGAGGCAGGGGACTCTCTCCTTGGGACTGTGGATGAAGAGGGGTCATGCCAACACTTGGTCTGGGGCTTCCAGGACTATGGGAATGTAGACTTCTGTTGTAGGGAACCTCGTTTGTGGTCATTTGTTACAGGAACTGCTGGACATTAAAGCGTATATACCAAAGGAGCCAGGGCCAGGGTCCCTCCCCCTTCCCACCCCAGCTGGCTCAGCCAGGCCCCTGGAACCACACATTATTGTTCATAGGGCCTGATACAGTAACATTCATTAGTATTTCTGTGTATACAGGGTACAGGCACCATCAGAGGCCAGGACCCCCCTGGAGCTGGATTACAGGAGGTTGTGAACCATCTGGATGAGTCTGTTAACTGAGTCATCTAGAAGAGTACTCGTCACCACTGAGCCACTGGTTCTGCAAGTTTTAATTCAGGGTCCCAGAGCCCGGTCCTCCATCCACCCGTTAACACACCAGCCAAACCCAAGTCAAGAGAACCCACTGCTATTCCAGAGTGAGCCAGCTTGTATTTGAAACATTTATTTCAGGAAATACATTTCGACACTTTGTTATTTATACAAAAAGAGAGACTCCTCCCCCAGGAGGCCCCCAGTGAAAGGCCGCGTGGAACAGCCTGGTCAGATGAACAGTTTTCAGTGGCTGGTTACAGAGGCATGATGTCACCCTGATGACACTGGGCTGCTGCTAAGTCCCCAGGGACACTGGGGCTGGGGAAGGCCAAGGTGCCGGGGGTCCAGCATGCTGAAGATTTCCTTCAAAGTCCTGATTTTTTGGCAAAAGAATTTGGCAAGCTGGCAAAGGAATGAACTGTTCGGCTACAGGGCTCGATGAGGTGGCCTTCCACGCTGGGGTGGGGGAGTAGGACACCCAACACAGGGAATCATGAGTATCCCTCATCAGTCTGCACCCCACCTCTCCCACTGCAAGAAGCTAGCCCAGGGTCTGTAGCCGCACCTTCCCCAAGCTGGTCCAACCTGTCCACACCCACCAAACTCCTCCCAGAGTCAGGACAAGAGAGGCGGGCAAGCAGAAAGGGCGTGGCTTTGGTCGGCTGTGCATGGATGGTCCCTAGCAGTTCTGAGAGAAGATGAAGGAGCCTAGCTCTGCTATGAAACCTTGCCTGTGGTCTGGCTATCCATCTCTGGTGCCCTTGGGGTTCTGGGACATAGCGGTTTAGGTGCATGTAGACAGCAAAATGGCCAGGTTTTCCTGGCTCCCACCTAGGGAAGTCAGTGAATTAAGGCTTGAGCCTGAGGGGGGGGGGAGGAGGAGGGATGAGGCAACTGGGCAACAATGTAGCCAGAGCAGATCCGGCCAAACCCAGGACCAGACAGACATACTTTCCCCTGGCACGGAGCAGAACAGCTCCCATGCGCTCTTCCTTCCACCAAGTCTGCTCAGACCTAAGACTGGGAGTGGGGGTGGGGCCATCTTTCATGCTATGTTTTTATAATTAAAGCCCGGTGCAGTAGCGGAGTCTACAGCACAGGGGGGAAAGGGGACCCAGGGGAGGGAGAAAGACTTCTCTCCAGCATGTCCCTGCATTTCACCCAGAGGGACATCTGGGAAGACGTGACTGGCTCTTGTGGATCAAGGCACTTTCTGCTCTGAGACAAACTTGAGGGAGACGGGGCATGGTTGTCACTATGTCTAAGTGATTGGCAACTTTGGTTGTGGATGTCTCTAGCCTCCTTGGGGAGCAGGCAGCTGAGGGGGCTGTAAGCAATGACTCATGGCTGGTGGAGGGGCAGGCGGGGCTCCAGGACTACCTGGCCAGCTCCATCCTTCTCTGGGTGCAGCCTGCTTTTGGGGCTGTGGCCACGGGGACTTGTGGCTTCATGGGCTCCTCTGCAACCCCTAGGATTCGGTCCCTACAGGCTTCAGCTCAGAACTCAGAGCGGGCATGGACACACAGCTCTTCTAACCCCTCAGGAGGGGCTGAGCCTGGTCTAGCCTTCCCAGCTTGGGGAGAGAGCTGGGCACAGAGACAAGCCCAGGCTGTAGTCCCGCCCACCCTGCTGCTGCAGCCAATAAGAGCACACTTGGCAGATAAGCCCTCTCTTGTTACTGGGCAGAGTGTGGAAAGAGAAGGAGGCGGGTGACAAATGAAGACAATTATATAAAATAAGACAGGGTAGGTGGGTGGGCCGGGGAGGATGAGAAGATTTGGGGGTGGGGTCCAGGGGCAGGATGGCGTCTACATCTCCTGGGCTTCTGGCTCCTTCTCCTCAACCCCGTTGGCCATGGTGCTGTTACCCTCGTTGAGGCGTTTCACTCGGTAGGCTTCGAAGTGGATGCTGCTGGTGATGTCTTTGATGTTCTGCATGTGTGTCCTGCAGGGAAAGTGGCCCGCCTGGGTTACAACCACCTGCCCCTCCCTCCCGGCATCAGGGGAAGCCTGCAGGCTCTTGGTGTGCACACAGCAGGACGAGGCAGATCGGCCCTCTGTGGCCTCACATTCTAACTCTGTGTCTATGTGGTGACACAAGGGTGGCCTACACAAGGGTGAAGGGCTGAGCACTAAAAACACAAACTTGAAAGCTCCCAAGACCCCCACCGATGGGCAGGACTGGGGTATATTCATGCTCCAAGACAGAAGTTCATGTGGTGGCCAGCAGGAGGCAGCAGGTGACCACAGTCCCCAGAGCTGTCCACCTACTCAGCCATCCCCTCCTGAGGCCTGCCAGGCATGCTCTACCACTGACCCACACCGCAGACGGCCACTCCCCTTTACTTTGGAAAGGGAAATCGGAAGGGCGAGGAGTCCCAAGGGCGGTAAGGTTTGTTCTTGGAAGCCCCACCCCCGGTTCCTTGCCCTGTATTTTTTTTCCTCTTAACAGATTTTCATTATACAGAATAATGTTTCATTATGATATTTTTCTTTTGTTTGTTTTGAGACACATAACTCAGGCTGTGCCCTTAGTAGACATAGCTGAATTTAGCATGCTTAGACCATGGGGGGGGGCGGGACCAAAATTCATCCTGGTGACCTCATAAGGTTAGGAAGAATTCCCATTTCATTGTTCATTCCCAAGAGGGTTTTGTTTTGTTTTCAGCATTAGACAATGGGTTCCTGAGGGCGGGGCTAACAACAGGCAGCTTCCAGCAGGGTGAGGGCTCCCGCCCCCCAGCCCACCAAACCCAAGGAGCCTTCGGAGCTGAATGCTGACTTACCTAATGAGGAGGTCCCGCAGGTAGGCAAATTCACAGTGAGTGGTGTTCTCAACTGTGGAAGAGAGAAGGACACTCAGTGTCCTGGTAAGAAGGAAGCCCCTCCTCCTCTCCTACCCAGCAATGCCAACAGCTTCTAGAAAGCCCCACCCACCGTGGGCAGGTGATCGACAGTTACTCAAATAGTTTTGGAGTCACCTGGGAGACACACCTCTAGAGTGCCTGTGAGCATGCATCCAGAGAGGTTCAGCTGAGGGAAGAGCCACCTGAATGTGGGCAGCATCTTCCCGTGGGCTGGAGAAGTGAGCTGAATGTTCCAGAACTTATTTCTCAATGCCTTCTGTGCCATGTGACCAGCTGCCTCCTGCCATGCTACCGTGACTCCCCGCCGCGATGGGCTGTACTCCGGAACTATGAGTAAACCCTCATTCCTTATGCTCCAGGCTTGGGTGAATCTTGGCTTCTCCGACCCAGGTTCCCAATAAATGAGCTAAAGGCTCAGTGGATGAGGGCATTTGCTGCCAAGCCCAACACCTGAGTTTAAGTCCCAGGCCGCACGGCAGAAAGAGAAAACCGACTCTTGCAAGGTGCCCTCTGACTACCACATGCATGTTCTGGCATGTACAAGACCTTTCCCCCAATAAAACAAATGTAAGAAGAAATTTAAGTGGGAGAATGTCTCGGGGGCAGAAAGGTACCCAGTGAGCCAACGGTGTTACTGAACTTTGTGAGGCTTTCGACTACATCATGTTCAAGCTCCCAAGGATGGAACAGGCTCTTCAGATGGTGCAGAACAAGGAGGAGGTAAGGAGTGGGCACAATTAGATACGGCTTGTTCAGTTACAAACCCACAGAGTGAGTGTGTGTGTGTGTGTGTGTGTGTGTGTGTGTGTGTGCGCGCGCGCGCGCGCGCGTGTCTGATAGGAACTCCCACTACATTCCTATCCCCAGGGTCCTCACTAGAAGGTTGTTGGATATGGGAACCACCACCCGGGGGAGTACATTATATGTTCACACAGGCTGCTTGGACCCTCAGCTGGGAGCTCTCCTCTAACCAGCTAAACTTCCTGCCAGTTTCTCATTGAGTGTGTGCAGTACCCAAGTTGGCCAGCAGGGGTCAGACAAGACACGCCAATAGCCAATGCCATTCTCAAATCCCCAGGGGTTCTTATCCCACACTTTCCTGATTCCAACCATGCTTTGCATATTTGCATAGAGAGGCAGAGAGGGTAAGCAGAGACAAGAATGATGGACTGAGGGAAATGAAGCTGAGCTTGAGAGAGAATAAATAGTTCCAGAGTACCCCTAAGATCACCTCTGGGGTCATCGTCTGCCTCAGAAAGGCCCAGGCACCTAAAACACCCGGAGTGTATTTAGAATATATCCCCACGGCGCCCTACCTGGCAGACTCACAGGGAGGGCACAGCAGGGAAAGGAACAGACGGGAAGGGCAGATGGGTATACTCCAGTGCTTAACCTCAGGAAGGCCAGCTAATGATGCCTAACTCCAGGGGCTCCAGTGCAAGGCTGCATGTAGAGCCCCAAATCACCCTGTCTGGAGCCCTGGCTGTTCATTCACTGTCCTCCCTTGCTCTCCCCGCCCCCACCCCACCTTGCTGTTGGAGGGATGTTGAATGCCGGAGCCTCCTGTCTCCACTTCTCAAATGCTAAGGTCACAGATAGGGACCAGCATCCCTGGCTTACACGGTACACATCACACAGCATTAACTTAGTCAGTGGCAGGCACTCTATGGAGTCTGTCCCTCTAACTCAGCAGTTCTCAACCTGTGGGTCACAACCCTTTGTGTGCTTGCATGCGTGAGCGTGTGTAATGACCCTTTCATGGGGGTCACATAAGACGGTTGGGAAACACAGATGTTTACATTATGATTCATAACAGTAGCAAAATTATAGTTATGAAAATAATTTTATGGTTAGGGTCCACAGTGTGAAGACCTGCATTAAAGGGTCCCATCGTCAGGAAGGTTGAGAACCCTGCTCTAACTCCTCTCTGCAAAGAGGGTGAGTAAAGGGTTAAATGATAACCCACTTAGGGTGGGGGTGCTGAGTTGGAGACCTCCATGCTCAGTGCCAGGAAATACCATCACCAGATTCCTAGAGAGACTATTTCTTAAAGAGCTCTAGCAGGACTGGTGTGGTGTGTGCTCCGATAACCCGGGCACTGGTGTGGTGTGTGCTCCTATAACCCGGGCACTGGTGTGGTGTCTACACCTATAACCCCAGCATTCAGGAGGCCAAGGCAGAAGGACTTGAGTGTGGGGTCATCCTAGGCTACAGAGTAAGCCCAAAATCCCCGGGAGAACAGCCCTATCCATCTGGAACAATCACCTGGCCCTTAAGATGTAGCCCTCGTTGATGTGTACAGACTGAGGCTCACCCTAGCTCACAGCCTCAACTTCCTTCTCCTGTGGACCACACTGGTCATAAGAAACAAAATGGGTCTTCATCTCCCAGGCAGCTCAGTCCTTTTCCATCCTCCTTTCTAACGAGAATGGAAGAGCAGAAAGACCCTGGGACCATCCCACCTGGATACTGACCTGGACCCCAGAGAAGACCACACCTGGGGCAAAGCAACTAAGTCTATGACAACGTAATTAAGTTCAAGGAACTCAGGTGCACCCTACAGCCATTGCCCTTACAAGGAGAGACGAAACAGGGACCCACAGTGCAACAGATGAAGGCCCAAGCTCAACTACAGGTTAGCACTGTGGCGGCGCAGCAGCCAGTACCTTCAATGGTACCCCACTTAGTCTTCCGTCCCAGGATCCTCTTGCCATTGACTTGATATTCATGGTCGCTGCCCACCACAGCAAACGGGATCATCTCCTGGAAAGGGGGTAGAAGAGTTAAGTACAGGTACGCCTGGGCTTTGGACCGGGAAGCTGCAGGCCTTGGCTTCAGAGGACCAGACGTGGACACATGGATCCCCATCATTTTCCAGTGGACGCACTTACCCGGAACTTCTCATTCACCAGCCGGTCCTCTGAATCCTCATCAAACTCCTTCTGGGGGTATACATCAATGCCATTGGACAGCAGGTCTGCAGTAATCTGGGAGACACAGAGGCTATTAGCCACCAGGTGCCCGAGCCATGAACCCCTGCAAAGGCTGGCTCTGGGTGGCCCTGCCCTGAGAACGTCCAGTTTTGTTTTTTTTTTTTTAAATATTCATTTTATTTTATTTTTTGGGCATTAGTGTTTTCTCTGCACATGTACCAAATGCATGCCCAGTGCCCACAGAGGCCAGAACGGGGCATCACATCCCCTAGAACTGCCTGTGAGCTGCCACGTGGGTGCTGGGAATGGAACCTGGGTCCTCTGCAAGAGCAGCCAGTACTCTTAACCCCCAAGCCATCTCTCCAGCCGCACCCCCAACCTTTTGGGAGACAAAGTCTCTAGCTCAGGCTGGCTATGTATCCAAGGATGACCTTGAACTTCCGAGCCTCCTGCCTCCACCTCCCAAGCACTGGTGTAATAGGTATGTGCCACCATGGCCAGTTTTATGCGGCACTGAAGATTAAACCCTGAGCCTCCTGTATGCCAGGCAAGCACTCTACCAACTGAGCTACATCCACCCAGATTCTCCAGTTCTGGCGCCTCTGCATCAAGAAGGGACTCACCTGGCCTGAGGGGCCCCGTGACCACTATCCTGAGACTCTGCCCGTGTTTCCTGTGTAGCTCACCCCCCTCCACCACTACAAATAACTCAGGGTTGCTAAGGACGAGCATGGCTCCCTCCTGCAGCTCAGGACACCTGCCTGACGAAATGGCCCCCACCTTGATGACAGCCCAGGCGATTGACAGTCGATAGAGGACATCCCAGGGGACAGCTGCCTCGTTTGCCCAAGCAGATCCAGGCTCTCACACTGGAGAGCTTTCTGGTCTCCAGCAGATGCATCCCTGACTACCCTTCCCTGTGCGTGCTGGGAAAATCTCCCACACATGGTCTGGGATGGAGGCCCGGGGAGCCTCTGGAGTTGGATTCGGGGCCTCAGAACCGCAGGCTGGAGCTCCCAAGAGGTTCTGAAGTATGGCCTAGTTCAGAAGAGGTCCAGGATTCATCCTTTTACAGATGCCCACGAGGACATCCCTGCCACCCAGCTAGAAGTGTCCTCGACCAGAGTAGAGGAGGAAGCCACTGAGGCAGACTAGACTGGTCCTTTTGGTTTTCTTTCCCATCTAATAAAAACTCAGGTGTGCCAGGTACGATGATGGCCTCTGCTTGGTCTACTACAAAACCCGGGGCTGCTGGAAATGGGGGTCCCCAGCAGCCACCCAGGCCAGTCCCCTCCCACTCCCAGGCTCAGGCTGGACACATGCTGTGAAGGGCTAAAGGGTGACTCTCCTATCCTCGTATCCCCTGGGCTGGATCGGATCGGCCCTTGTCAGGCCTGTAACTTGTCCAAGCAGTCCTCAAAGGAGAGAGCGAGCGCTGAGGAGAGGCTGTGAGTCCTACCCGTTGTTTGAAGTAGACCCTTTCCTCCAGGGTCAGCGTGTCAGCCTTGGCGATGACCGGGACAATATTGACCACCTTGCTTAGGCGCTTCATGAATTCAATGTCCAGGGGCCTAAGCCTGAAATGGAACATGAAACTCAGCTTAGGAGGGACCCCCAGCTTCAGGACTCATAGTGGAGGCCATGTTGGTAGAGGGGCAAGGCTGGGGCTTGGAAGGGCGCAGGGTGATGCTCCCCCTATTGAGTCGAGATAAGAGCCGGAGTGAAGCTGGCTCTAAGGTCCCTCATCCACAACTGTCAGAGCCCAACTGGCCCTGGACACGCCCAAAGAGTGACTTGGCTCACATCACTGTCATGCCTTGGGGCTTCCAATGTCAGGCAGAAGCTCTGGGCCCTGAGACGGACTAACTGTTCCCCAGGTCGGCTTGGCTCCAGAGAGGCTGGATCTGCTACAGGAGCAGGGAGGAGGCTGCAGGAAGGAGGCGGGCAGAGCCCATGCGTGGGCACCATTTTCCTGTTGAAACTGCACTTTCTCCATGGGGGTATTGTCAGGCCCAGACAGCCCGTGGGAAGTGAAGCTACAGACAGACATCTGAGCAAAGATGGCCAGAAGCCATTGCCATCCCCAGGGACTGAACATCAGGGGACAGAGACTAGGCAAGGTGCCCAGCTGGGACCCCAGCCCAGAGGGTACCGCTGGGAAGGCGCCTTCGGCTCTCCCCGCTGAAGCCACGTCAATCCTGTCTCCTGCTGTCTTGGCCCTGCCCCAGGAGGTGCTGGGATAGCTGGAGAATCCCCAACGAAGCAGCCCCTGGTGGCCTTATGGCAACCCCTGCCATGAATGGGCTCTTGCTGGCCTCACAGGAGATGGGCACTATGGCAGCTCAGACACCCATATTTGGGTTTCTTCCAACCAGACCCCAGTGAGCCTTATGCCATCTAGACAGAGTGCAAGATGCAAGGTCCCCTCAAAGCCTAGGCTCTTACAGCCAGGGCTGAGCCTGGAACAGCCTAGAGTAGAGTGTGCACACTCCAGTCGCCGTGGCCAGGAGACACCAAACTCGGGAGCCCTCAAAGCCACATCCAGTTCCTGATGCTTACGCAGGGACTGGCCTGTGCCCTACATGGAGTCAGGGCAAGTGACAAGGGGGTCCAGCAGGGAGAGGAACCTATGTATTGGGGACAGATGAGATTCACAGGGAGCCAAGAACCCTGGCCACTGAGACCATTCAGAGTCCCCCGGCCCCGGGGGAGGGAGACTCCAGAAGGCACCTGGTTCTTCGGTGGCCCAGGAGGTAAGAGCACCCCCACGGTGTGGAGAAAGCCACGTGACTGCTAGGTGAGCGCGCACACACTCACAGAGCCTGAGAGTCTCATTCCATCTGCAGGGCCTGCCTACCAGATTCTAGACTATCCCAGGGCCTGCCCAGTCCTCAGGTCACAGAGACGCTCTACGGACACAGACACCCGCATAAGGGCTGCTGACAGCTCTGACTCAGTGCCGTGTCCTGCTTTGCCCCCACACCACCACACACCCCCAACCCCATGCCCAGTGGCTGGGCGGATGGAACCCTGCAGGTAGCCCCGCCAGTGCTGGAAATGGGGACTCCCACCGTCAAGAAAAACGCCGTGAATGGGACATACGAGTGGCCGGTGGCCGGGATGAAGTAGAGGCAGCAATGCACACGCGTGTCGGGGATGCGTTTCTTTCTGTTGATGTTGACCTCCTCCTGCAGGTACTTTTCGTACTGGTCGTTGATGAACTTCATAATAGGCTGCCAGCTGCATGGAGATCCGGGTTAGCCAGTACCTGGGACCCCTGCTGCCCATTCTGGGCACGTGTCCTCTCTAAGCCCCCAAGGCAGGCTAATTCCCAGAGCTGATACCCAGCCTTCTGATTTCATACAGGAAAGATAGGTTGTTGCAAAGAGAAGCCAGCCTTATCTGAGAGTTTTCCGGCCACGCTCCCCATGCTGACCTTTGTCCCAGGGTGGGAGAGCATGACTCCCAGGTGACCCCGTTTTGATTTAGAATGTTAGACCCGCATGTGTGGCTTTAGGGTTTGGAGCGATCTCATTTGGGTACCAGAGGGGCTTTCGCACTGAAGGAAGGCTCTCTGAGGTCACACCTACCAGTTTTCATTGTTGATGTGGTCTCCGAAGCCTGGAGTGTCGATCACCGTCAGCTTCATCCGGACCCCCTTTTCCTCGATATCTGCACAAACACCCCAGATCAGAGGGCAATCCAAGCCCTCACACTGCCTGGCCAGCCTGGGGTGTCCCCAGACGGGCCATGATGACAGCCAAGGGGATGCCATGGAGAAAGCGACCTCAGGTAAAGAAGGGTGGATGGCACCTCAGCCTGGTGGGCCCCAGACCAATTCCTACCCACAGTCTCAATGGTGACCCTTCGAGTGCGATACCCTTCACCCCACGCTCTGGGTAAAGGGGGTCCCTATTCCCAGCCTCAGCCCCCCCCTTCCACGGAACCTACCGTGGGTAATGGACTTGATTTCAATCGTCTTGGGGATGCGTTCCTCCGAGGTGGGCTGCACCGACTTCCGGCTGATTTTGGACTTGAAGAGGGTGTTGATTAAGGTGGACTTCCCGAGGCCACTCTGCCCTGGGGGGAGAAGGGGAGGCTGGTGAACACAGCTCCAAGAGCTCAGTGTGACCACCAGGGTCACAGCATCCTTGGACAGGCCCCCCCCCCCGGGGCTTCACCTCCTAAGCAGACACCCAGGGTTGAATTTAAACCTACAATGTGGGGCTCTGGGGCCAGGTTTAACGTGGCCAGAGCTCCTTCCTGACCCTAGAGAAGCTACCCAAAACAGGAAGAGACACCAGACTCCAGGGGAACAGGTCCAGGTAGCTACAGAGGAGGATGACAGCCCCAAAGACAGGTGCAGGTTGTCAGTGACTCTGGACACACACAGACACAGTCCCCCGACAGATCCCTGCAGTGGAAGAAGCCACCGGACTCTACTTGGTTTAGGACGTCAGCCTATGAGAGGCAACTGCCCAGATACGACCCTGGAGAACAGCGTCCTATTCCACAGACCAGGTATGGTGGTGCTTCTTAATCCCAGCACCCAGGAGGCGAAAGCTGGCAAGGTCTCTGTGAGTTCAAGGCCAGCCTGGTCCAGAGAGCAAATTCCAGCCTTGTCACATAGTGAAACCCTATCTCTAAACAAACAGGCAGACAGACAGACAAAACTGGCTGTTTGTTCTTCCAGGCAAACACACCCCCCTTCCACAGGGTTACAGAGAGGACCTCATGTGTGGGGGGGCCCAAGGGGATTCTGTCCTTGCTGCATCCATCTACCGCTGGGACTTCTAGCTCTCCAAGGCCATGGGAGGAAGGGAGTGGCTACCACACCCCACTTCTTGGGTGGGCAATTTAGATGTGTCTCCAGCCAAGCCTGGGGCAATAACCAGGGGACACTAAGCAGAACTCAGAGCTAGAGGCTGTTGTCACTGGTCACAGAGGGCTTACAGCTGCTCAGACAGATGCTAACACAGGTAGAGCCCCTCCCAAGAGTCCCTGGTGAAAGTGGTCCCCTCCCCCAGCACATGCACCCATATCTGTCATTTACAGGTGACATTAGGTGAGAGCTGTCCCCCCACTTTACAGGGGGAGGACATTTTGAGGGTTGCTTGGGTGCTGGGGCTGAGGCTGGCCCCCCGCACGGGCCTCGAGTGGCAAGATGGGCGTGTGGCCGGCAGAGGGCCTCCAACACTCACCAACCACCATGATGTTGAACTCGAAACCTTGTTTCATGGCCTTCCTGCGCATCTGCTCCAGGATGGAGTCGATCCCCACGTAGCCAAAGTCCACGGGGGCCTTCTCATTCCGTGACACGGGTGTTTGCTTGAGCACGGCATCTCTAGGGCTGTCAGCCATGTCGTCAACACAGCCGGGAGCCACTTCGGAGCCTGCGGAGGGAAACAGAGAGGTAGTTTACCAGGGTTTGCAGGCGGTGCACTCGCAGACGGGGAACCAAGGACACAGACAGAGCTCGGTCCCTTGCCCAAGGAACTCCGTGGAAACCTCAGAACTGAAGGTCCCTGCACTGTGCCATCTGACAGGCCCTCGCCCTCAGCCACCCGCCTCTCGGGGCTGTCTCTGCCATCTTTGCCAACCAAGGTGTCCTCTACATGTTCTTCTCTGCTCAGACGGCTTGCAGTTGCTGTGGGACCCAGGGACCTTAAGAGTCCAACAGGGGCCCTGGGTCCCACAGGGGCAGGCCACAGGGGAGGGTGATATGACCCCTATTTGCCTCTTCCAGATCTGAGCCCCCCCAATGCCTCTACTCCCAGGCACCCGATCCACACAGTCCTAAGGGGAAACAATCTTCCTAGACTGCGGCAGACACTAAGTGCCCCTCATCCCCAGGCAGGGGCCAGTTTGGTTAGCAGGTCTGTGGATAGGTTAAGGGTTAAACTTGAAAACCTCAGCTTCCTTTAATGAGCTTCGGTTTAACTGTCCTTCCCCTTCTGGGGAGCTCACTCGGCCCCCACACCCTCAGCTAACCCAACCCCGCATCTCTGGAGATAGGACCTGCACTTCCTCTCTGTGACCCCCCCCCCCTCCTCAGGCTTGAGTGTAGCACAGAAGAAGAGGCTTGCAAAGCCAGCTTCAGGAAGTCGGCACGTGGACCACCCCCCACAGCCAGGGGCTGGATCAGCCACTTCCTGTTTCTCTGCCTCCTCCGCGGGGTGCCGCCACCACTACTTCCTGGCCCCGGGGAGCAACTAAACGACACACCAGGAGCTGCCTCAGGGTCCACACAAGTGTATCCCCAAACAATGGCAAAGGCAGGTCCCAGGGTCCAGGGCCATCAGAAGCATCCCCAGCCCAGGTTAGGCCAACAGTCCTCCCCACGAGGCTTCGGGAGCGCTGCCTCCCCACTCAGAAACGCTCCTGGGTTTCCAGCATCTTCAAATAAACAAAGACGGTGCAGCATCTGGCCCTAGAACCTGTGGCTTGGGGCCGGCTTCCTGCAGAATGACAAGGGGCCCTGCCTTGCCGAGCAGCAGCGGTTCAGGCCTCGTCCACGTGATTGAAAATTGCTTCCATCTGTCTGAGAGTCTGAGACCCACTTTGTCCCACCCCACCTCTCTGCTGAGCCGTGAGAGGAGGAAGGGGCTGTCCCCCAACCCTCTCTAATCACCCCCAGTCAAGGCAGGCTTGCCTCAGCCCCAGGTGGCCCCTCTACATACATCAAGGCTCACAGCAGAAACTCAAACCAAGCTAAACATTCAGCCTGCCAGGGGCCCTGCTTGAGAAATAATAAGAACACAGTAAAGCCCCAGCCTTCCCTGGGGCGCTGGAAGCTCTTCTGGCATCCCCCCAGACCCTTCCCACTGGGAGAGCCTCCCTCCCCATCCACCTGCCAGCCTGGTTGGGAGGTAGGCTCTCCACCCAGGGTTGCCTTGTGATCCCAGCCCTCCATCTCCAAGAATGTGAGTGACCAGAGCCTTCCCTGTCCTCACTGTATCGTTACTGTATCATCAACAGATGCATCCTGGCCACTTCCGCCTTCAAAACAAGTTGTGGTAAAATGTAATTTATCATCTTAGCCATTTCTGAGGCACAGGTCGAGTCCTGACCAGCCTCTTACCAGTCTCTAGCAACCTTCATTCTGCCTAAGATCCTTGGGTAAGCAGGGGCGGGTGATCTCTGACTTTTGACCGATTTCATATAGAATAATGTCCTTAAGGTTCATCCATGCTACACAGTTGTGCCTTTTAAAGGCCAACGATACTCCTTTAACGAACACATTTTAGTCTTTTTTTAAAACCTCAATTCATATGATTTTGTTTTTTAAAAGGTTTATTTTCATTTTTAATCATATCTGTGCATGTGTGTCTGTGTATGGATATGCATGCCTGAGTTCAGGCGCCCAAGGAGGCCAGAGGAGGGGCACCAGATTCCCCACTAGAGCTGGGGTCACAGGCAGCCGTGAGACGCCAGATGTGGGTGCTGAACTCAGGTCCTCTGGAGGAGCAATGTGTGCTGTGCTCTTCACTGTGGAGCCCCCTCCAGGCTCAGCACAGTGAGTCTTCTATCCACAAGCATTGGAGAGATTGCTTCTGGTTGGCTGGTGTGAGAGCTATGGTGTGAACGTGGGTATGCAGGCTAGCTCTCCCTTTCTCTCTCCCTTCCGTCTTCCTCTTGGACCCTCTCTGTATTACCGGCATAAATCACCATGCCCAGCCAGACTTTGTTTTCAACGGTTCTGAGCACGCGCTCAGATGTGAGCAGTTCTATTTTTATTTTTGAGGAACCAGAGAAGTTCATCTACGTGACTTCTGAACACTGGAGTCTGAGCTAGTTCAGGAGGGACGCTCCGTAAGAATCTACTTTGGCTGATTTCAGTTTAAGTACCTACGTGCTCCTGACAAGTGTGCAAGGTGGCCTGGATTCCCACTGGACAGAGGGGACGCAGCGCCACACACTGATGCTTTTCCGAAACGCCACTGGATCGTCAGATGGACGAGATAAGACCTTTGCTGAACTCGGCCCTCCCGGAACCTCCCCTGCCCTTGACCCGGTTACTGACACTGAGTTCTGCGTTCCTCACTCAGGAGTGTGTTCTCTGACACCTTCCCTCCTCAACCAGCCAAGGCTGTGGCCTGCTCAGGGCCAACCTCAACTCCCAGCCCAGCAAGAAGCAGAAATGAGCTACTCAAGAAAAGCTCAACATCAGCAGGAGTGAAGGCATCCTCCACCAAACCTAGAAAGCCAAGTCTCACCTCTGTGACTCATACGGCAGAGAAATGACACTCTTAAACTGTCTCTGACCTGTCATGGATGCTGTGGGAAGGGCACATACACATACAGACACACACAGGGTGCTAAAATGTTCACAGATGCATTAACAAACGCATAGTAAGAGCATCTGCGGGAACATAGCTCAGAGGTTAACAGCACTGGCTGCTCTGCCAGAGGACCTGAGTTCAATTCCCAGCAACCACATGGTGGCTCACAGCCATCTGTAATGAGATCTGGCGCCCTCTTCTGGCCTGCAGGCAGACATGCAGGCGGAACATTGTGTATATAATAAATAAGTCTTAAAAAAGAAAAAGAAGAAACCACGCTGAGCTAAAGAAACAGACACTCCAAGGCACGAATGACTATGTGAAACACTTGGAAGAGGCAAACCCACAGGGGCGGTGTTGGGGGGGGGGCTTTTTAATGAGTGTGGAGTTTCCCTTCAGGGTGATAAAAACCATACAGGTCACGTGACACCTTGAATAAACACCACTGGAAAGTCCTCACTCTTCCCGGCCGAGGAGGCAAGGAGGTGAGGGAGGAGGCTGGGCACCAGGCAGGTGTTTATAGCACAGCTGGACAGGGAGTCCAGCCAGGCCACCGGCCAGTGCACAGCTCAGGACTCCTGGGTCCCGGGTGTTGACCCTGAAGCTGAGGCTCCTTGGCAGATGCTAACAGTCAATGCCCTGAGCAAGCCGCCTGTCATTTCCCAGCCAAGGGTGTTCCTGACGGGGTGGCCAGTAGCTAAAGTTACCGGTGGGTCCCACTGCCCACAGAGGCCTGTCCACCATTCCCTCCGGCCCCAGACGGCTGCTCTCTAGTTGATGGTGGGTACAACTGGGACCCAAGCCACCACCATCGGCAGACTGACCCACTGAGAATAACAAATTCTTCCCTCACCCCAGGCCCTGCCAGAGTGGAGAGGATTGTGTTACCCTTCACACTCACTGGGACAGGGCCATGGGCCACTATACTTTGGGAGGGGTTCCCAGGAAGGATGGGACCAAGGCTGACCTTGCCCCACTTGGCCATGAGGACGAAGGCTCAGGCTAACAGGCTTGCAAGGACAGACGGGAGCCAGCACCCAGGAGCCACCCATCCGGCTTCACCCTTCCCAGCTGCCCACTTCCTAACTGAACCGTGCCTCCCTGGCCAAATGTGGCAGCCCCTCTGCCGGCCAGGAGCATCCGTGCGGTACCGAGGGGCAGCCACTCTCTCACGCACAGGACAAAGCTCTCGATGCCAATTCCCTTACTCCAGCACAAGCCAAGCCCAGCTCTTCAAAGCCAACCCTGCTGTCCTCAAACACCTTGTTCAAGCCCCACCCCTGTGGCCCAGGAGAAAGCAGAGCCCACCTGTCCCTGGGCAGTAGGCAGGTCGAGCGGGGCCTAATGGGTACCAAGATGCCCACCAGTACTTGCTCCATCAGCTGGCCTCCCAGGCCTCTGTCTCCAGAAGGATCAGCACCTATAGCCAGCAAGTCACGATCAGCCCTGGATTTGTGATATGTGAGCACCACCTCCTCTCTGGGACCATTCAGCTTGTTCTGCCTCACATACAGAGGCCTTGAGCTCAGCTCCTCTCTGGGCCCCACAGGCTGAAGGCAGAGCCCAGGCTGGCGCCAGGACCTCCCACCCAGCTGGCCGGACAGGTCTCTCAGGGCAATGTCGCTTTAATCCAGCAAAGTCTAAGAAAACACACCCCAAGGCCAAAGGAATGCACGTGTTCTTCAACACCAGCTACTGGGCATCAAATAGGGCTCCTGACTCCTGGGCTCTCCTGGCCTACACCGTTGGACCCACACCTGGAACAGACTTCAGAGTGTCCACTTAGTAGGAAACCCCACTCCAAGACACCCACAAAGGCTCAGAGGTGACTTCGCCAGGCAGGCAGGATTGGCCAGAGAGAAGAATGAGCCAACTGGGGAAATAAAGGTGAGTGTGGAGGCCCATAAAAGTGTTCTCTCTTGGCATAAGGTCAGAGAGTTAGAGCCTACTATTGCCCCTTCAAGGCTAAACCACAGTATGCTTGGCATAAGGTGTGGCTATTATGTCTTTTGCCTTGACAGCAGGATATGTGACGTAAGGTGTAGCTAATGAATGTTCTACCTAAACAACAGGACGTTTGGTTTGGGGTGTGGTTTCCAGATGTGTTGGGT